GCATGTATCAAGATTCCACAGTTGGGCAGTTGATGTCATCAGAAAATGATGACTATGATAGCGGAGTTCCTACTGCGTTCAGGACCTCAGAAAAATCAATTTTCTCCCAAAAGGAGTATTTTTCGGACTATGAAACTGGCCGCTCTTCTCCAGACACCAACAAACTGCCATCTGATGAAGAAAGCTTTGGAGATGTCAACTCTCAAGTTACATCGATGGATTCCAGACCAGGGGTTGATGAGGCAGATAGAAATGGGGATACAGCTAGCAAGAAATTGAAAGATGTGCCTCACACTGTGACTTGCACAATCACTATCTCATTTGCAATCCCAGTGTTACCTAAAAAAGGTAATTCTTTATGATAAACTTCCTTACAGACCATATGATTCAATACATAGTGTTCACCTTGAAAAGTACAATTATGCATACCTTTTATTATGTATTTGAATTAAATAATTTTGTAATGTTCACATAGCACTTAGCAATCATGTTGAATTATTATTTAGATCAGACCTGTTTCAATTGTTATGAGCACGAGGGTTGTCCATTCAAATCCCAACTATGACACTACTTGCATGGAATTTGCATGTTCATCCTGTGCTTGCATTGGGTTTCCTTCAGGTACTCTCCAGTTTCTTCCCACGCTCCAAACTCATGCTGGTAAGTCAATTGGCTCCTGTCTCAATTGACCCTAGTATGTGTATATATGAATTTGAGTTAAGGACCTTAGATTGTAAGCACCTTGAGAGGCAGGGACTGTGTAACCTTTCGGTGCTATAAATACGTATATATATATATATATATATATATATATATATATATATATATACACACACACACACAGTGTTCAGCATAAATGAGTACACCCCAACACATTTGTAAGAAAACCTTTACTTTTCTTTCAGAATCAACATTTTCTATAGGGCACTATACTGCAAACTACTCTCACAAATGATTTTGAACATTTTTTTCAAACAATATTTGTTCATTTGCACAATGACTAAATGGTTAGCACTTCCACCTGGCAGTACTAGGGTTGTTGGTTCAAATCCCAACCATGGCACCACCTGCCTAGAGTCAGCATGTTCTCCCTGTGCCTGTGTGGGTTTCCTCCCACACTCTAAAGACATGCTGGTAGGTTAATTGGATCCTGTCTAAATTGGCCCTAGTATGTGTATGTATGAATGTAAGTTAGGGACCTTAGATTGTACGCCCTACGAGGGTTAGGGACTGATGTGAATGTACAATATATTTGTAAAGCGCTGTGTAAATTGACGGCGCTATATAAGTACCTGAAATAAATAAATAATAAATTTGCACACACAAAAAAGTATTTTTACTAACAAATTCATTCAAGACCATGTGACAAAAATGAATACACTCCAATTTAAGTCTTAGGAGCAAAGCTAAATTTTAGACAAAATTCTAATTAACAATAATTTAGCTACAGGTGGGTCTAATTATTCATTAAACAGGTGTCCAGCAGACAATTAATTATAAAAGGCTGTTACTTAACAAAAAAAAAAAAACCTTCCCATTTCATGCTGTCAGCAATGGCACCACATAGAAGAGAAATATCACAAGGCCTGAGAAAGAAAATATTTTCTTAACAAAAGAAAGGTGAAGGCTACAAGAAGATCATCAAAGCTTTACTTATCAGTCAGAATACTGTAGCAAAAGTGATACAGAAATTTAACCCCTTGGTGCAGAAATAAAACCCCGCCCCACCTCCCGACCCTCCCGACCCTTTTAGGGTTTCAGATGCCGGGAGGTGGGGCGGGGTTTTAGGGTCATGTGATCACCGTGATTTGCCATCAAAAGACTGCTACTTCTCCTGAGTATGGGGATACCACATGTGAGAGACTTTTTGGCAGTCTAGCCAAGTACAGGACCCCAAAATCCAATAAGCACTTTTCAGGCTTTTAAAGGACTTTATTTCCTCATTACACTTCCTGACTACCTATCACAGTTTCAAAGGCTCTGAAATGCCAGGATAGCACCAAACCCCCCCAAATGACCACTTTTTGGAAAGTAGACACCCCAAGGAATTTGATCAGAAGCATGGTGAGTATTTTGCAGATCCCGTTTGTTGCCACAAGTTTTTGGAAAATTAAGAAAGAAAACAAAAACATATTTTTTTGGTTCTTTTTTATCTTTCAAAACCTTGTGAGAAAAAATGAGATCTGCAAAATACTCAATATGCCTCGTTTTAAATTCCTTGGGGTGTCTACTTTCCAAAAAGGGGTCATTTGGCTCCTGTATGTAGCTAGGCTCCCAAAGACTTGTGGAAAAAAAATAAATCTTCCATGGACTCAATATGCCTCTCAGCATATAGCTTAGGGTGTCTACTTTCCGAAATGGGTCATTTGAGGGTGTTTGTACTATCCTGGTATTTTAGCACCTCAAGAAATGTGATAGGTAGTCAGAAAGTAAAAGCTGTGTAAATTCCATTATCTATACCATAGCTTGCTATAACTTTCACACAAAGCAATCAATATACACTTATTGGGATTTTTTTTTACCAAAAACATGTAGCAGAATACATTTTGGCCTAAATGTTGGCCTAAAACGACGTTTGAGTTTTTTTTGGATATTTTTTATGACAGAAATGAGAAAATACCATTTTTTTTTCCCAAAATTTTCAGTCTTTTTTTGTTTATAGCGTGAAAAGCGCACAGGTGATCAAATACCACCGAAAGAAAGCTCTGTTTGGGTGAAAAAAAGGACATAAATTTTGTTTGGGTACAGCATTGCATGACCGCGCAGTTATCAGTTGAAATAATGCAGCGCTGTATAGCAAAAAGAGGCCTGGTCAGGAAGGGGGATAAATCCTCAGGAGGGCAAGGGGTTAATAGATAAAGGGAAGCCTATAACCTCTTTCAGCTTTTTATTTTTTGTTTTCATCCCTGTTCCTGTTGCAGATATCCCCTCACTTCCTGCCTGGTGAAACTGTCATCAGCTAGACAAGAAATGAGGATATCTGTCCAAAACAGAAAACAAAAATCCTTTTGGTTCTAAAATGCACTGTATGCTAATAACAAAAGAGTTCCCATTCAATGAATGACAGATAGATTGGAAGCCTTATGGCACTGTAATAGTGGTCCCTGCTTATGTTACATAAGGGAATATAATAATCAAACTGAACAGAAGCTTTGTGGTTCTCACTGGGGAATTTCACCTAGTCTGCTGTGTTAACCACTAAAGAAACATGCTGGCCTAGTATTCATTACCTGAAATCTCAATTTACTAGCACAAAGTTGATGTAGTTTGTAAGAGTTTTAGCATGCTGCAATTCTCTTAAAAAATTGCAAATTAATTTTTTTGATTTGAATTAGTTTTCACTGTTACCTGTTAATTGCTGAAACATGCTCAAAGGTTGCTTAAAGAAAGCATGCTGGAGATCTGATCAGGGATATGAAACAAATAATACATCTTTAGGAATGGCTCTTTTTTTCCACACTGAAGACAAACGTAAATAAAATGTGTCCCGTTATGCCCCCAATGGGAATTGTCTGCAAAAGATGTCCATAGACTTATTGAAATGTGGCCAGTTCAGTTTGATCAGTATGTGGTTGTACCTCTTCGGAAAAAGTCAGATGACTTCTGTCGAACTGACAAGTTGGAAAATGTTTGTCGATCAGTGGCTGCAGCCAGTCAATTAAAGGAACATGTTCCTTTTTTTTATGCTTAGCTCGCATGCTAAATTTAAAAAAAAAACTACTTATCTATGGCCATCTTAACTCTTCATATGACCCATAGGGGTTTATTTACTAAAGCTGGAGAGTGCAAAATCAGACTCCCTTCTGCATAGAAACCAATCAGCTTCTAACCTCAGCTTGTTCAATGAAGCTTTGGCAATGAAACCTGGAAGCTGATTGGTTTCTATGCAGAAGTGAGTCTGATTTTGGACTCTCCAGCTTTAGTAAATAAACCCCATAGAGTCTTACTATGACCTGCACCATCAGAGCTCTTGCACATGGGTGCCAAAAACACTTTTTTAGGCCCCGTTTACACAGGGTGGATCCGTCAGCCGATCTGCTTGCTCAGCGGGGGATCTCTCCACTGATCCCCGCTGAGCAAGCGGATGACAGGTCTATATCCGCTCTGCAGCAGACACAGCCCGCTGTCCTCTATGGGGGGTCGGATGGAAACTGACCGCCTGTCTGTTTCCATCCGACTGCCATCCCATCCAATCCAATGGACTGAAGTATGTGTATGTTAGCTAGGGACTTTAGATTGTACGCCCCCTGAGGATTAGGGACTGATGTGGATGTACAATATATATAAATTGACGGCACTAGATAAGTACCTGTAATAAATAAATTAAATAATAGTGCTGAAATAATTCTCTCGTTAGATCATGGTGCCAGCGTTTTATCCAATCTGAATTTTCATCGTGCCAGAGCTACAGTGGCTATGTGTGGAGCATGTAAATGAACACCAGAGGCCACAGGCACAATTGTGATGAAAGCATCTATCTGAAGAGTGGAGGGGAGGTAGATTAGCTGAAACTGTATACTGCATTGGCGCTGGAAATATTCCATACTGATTCCCTACAGTTGATGCTGCAGGAATGGCTGATACTGATAGCAGCATTTCTTAGTTTTTTTTTTAAACAGCACATTACATTTCAACTATAGTAGTGGTGGTGGGGGTTGTGGATAATACATTTAGCAAAGTAGGTTGGCGCACCGCTAACAGGTCTTGTTGCCATGCATGTTTTTTGTATATTTTAACCTAAATTGTTTATAGATTTTTTTTTGTTCCTCTTCTTTCTTAACAAAATATCATTGTAATAGAAGTTATTTCCAACATAGATTTTAATTCATGACTTTTCTGTTATGTTTATAGAAGACCATGAACTTGGTTCTACCCATAAAGGAAAAATAGGACCTAAGCATCACAAAAAGGTGATTGAGGCTCCAAAAGCACAAAAATATTTCCACTTTGAATATTCCTTGCTTCCGGAGTTCACAGAACCCACTAAAGTTGACGTGGTGATGTTTGGGGCTGTGGCAAAAGCTGTATATGGAGTATGAGTCTCGGGTAGGTTGAATGATCTAGCAGACAATATTTTAGATTCAGTGATGTTATAACTGGATTGCTGTGCTTTTTTATGCAATGCAGGCAGATCATGGCTGGTGTAAGGGGCTGACGGGACGCTGCACATAGCTTCCTGAAACATCAGCACCCTCCCTCCCTCCTCCCACAAGAGCCCTCAACCTTACTGCAAAGAATTATGCAAATATCAAAATGCCTTTATGGACAGGTGTCAGTCTGAAGGCATGGGTATTCCTAAGCAGACTGCCCTAGATAACGCCCACATGTGATGCTGAGCCTCCATGATTAACAGAACTGAAAACCAATGAATGAAAATGGCAGTCAGGTTGAGGAGGAAATTGGACTATATTGCTTTTAAAAGGCTCACCAAGAGGCTTACCTCCTTTTTCCCAAAACTGAAAAAAAAAAAAGATGAAAAGTATTTGTTGCAATCAGCTTTAAGTAACTGCAGACTGGTGTCCAAGCTGTGTGATAGTGAGCAAAATGTTTTTTTGTTGCTGTGTAATACCAGATTTTGTCAGCAGGTGTCGCAATGTGTTGAAATCTGTAGTTCTTACCATGTATCCTTAAAAACGCTTTCTAGAGCAACATTAGGAGTATTCAAACTAAAGCAAAATTAATTCTGATTAACTACTACATACCATGGTTCTTTGTAAAGCATTTTGAAAAATCCAGTATATTTAGTATCTGTTATAGATATTTGCTTCTTTTTATACTATGTGTAGGTATTGACATATGAAGATTATCATGTTTCCTTTTTGTTAAAAGGCTTATGTCAGTGCTTCACATTTTTAGGTATGCTGTGAAACAATTTTCTATGGTGGCCATAGAAAATCATTAGCTTACATATTCCATCTAGCTTTAAAAATTAGCTGAAATTTAATTGATTTCTGTGGACAACACAAAACCTTTTTCTTCATCCTTTACTCTATAGTTTCCAGTACGGTGTAGCATATGCAGCCACATATGTTACTTGACGTGTATGTCACTAGTCAAACGATGATGAATTTATTAGGTAAAAGCTACAAAACATATAACAGTCATCCTGTGCTGCCCCTGCTATTTGAGTGATATTCATCCCAGTCTGATACAGTGGGGCAAAAAAGTATTTAGTCAGCCACCAACTGTGCACGTTCTCCCACTTAAAAAGATGAGAGAGGCCTGTAATTGGCATCATAGGTAGACCTCAACTATGAGAGACAAAATGAGAAAAAAAATCCAGACAATCACATGGGCTGATTTGGAAAGAATTTATTTGCAAATTATGGTGGAAAATAAGTATTTGGTCAATATCAAAAGTTAATCTCAATACTTTGTTATATATCCTTTGTTGGCAATGACAGAGGTCAAACGTTTCCTGTAAGTCTTCACAAGGTTGGCACACACTGTTGCTGGTATGTTGGCCCATTCCTCCATGCAGATCTCCTCTAGAGCAGTGATGTTTTGGGGCTATCGCTGGGCAACACGGACTTTCAACTCCCTCCAAAGGTTTTCTATGGGGTTGAGATCTGGAGACTGGCTAGGCCACTCCAGGACCTTGAAATGCTTCTTACGAAGCCACTCCTTCGTTGCCCAGGCGGGATGTTTGGGATCATTGTCATGTTGGAAGACCCAGCCATGTTTCATCTTCAATGCCCTGACTGATGGAGGAAAAAAAATCCATGATACATGGCCCTCATTCATTCTGTCCTGTACATGGATCAGTCGTCCTGGTCCCTTGCGGAGAAACCGACCCAAAGCATGATGTTGCCACCCCCATGCTTCACAGTATGTATGGTGTTCTTTGGATACAACTCAGCATTCTCTCTCCTCCAAACACGACGAGTTGTGTTTTCTACCAAACAGTTCTGTTTTGGTTTCATCTGACCATATGACATTCTCCCAATCCTATTCTGGATCATCCAAATGCTCTCTAGCAAACTTCAGATGGACCCGGACATGTACTGGCTTAAGCAGGGGGACACATCTGGCACTGCAGGATCTGAGTCCCTGGCGGCGTAGTGTGTTACTGATGGTAGCCTTTGTTACGTTGGTTCCAGCTCTCTGCAGGTCATTCACTAGGTCCCCCCGTGTGGTCCTGGGAGTTTTGCTCACTGTTCTTGTGATCATTTTGACCCCACGGGGTGGGATCTCGCATGGAGCCCCAGATCGAGGGAGATTATCAGTGGTCTTGTATGTCTTCCATTTTCTAATTATTGCTCCCACAGTTGATTTGTTCACACCAAGCTGCTTGCCTATTGCAGATTCAGTCTTCCCAGCCTGGTGCAGGTCTACAATTTTGTTTCTGGTGTCCTTTGACAGCTCTTTGGTCTTCACCATAGTGGAGTTTGGAGTGACTGTTTGAGGTTGTGGACAGGTGTCTTTTACACTGATAACAAGTTCAAACAGGTGCCATTGATACAGGTAATGAGTGCAGGACAGAGGAGCCTCTTAAAGAAGAAGGTACAGGTCTGTGAGAGCCAGAAATCTTGCTTGTTTGTAGGTGACCAAATACTTATTTTCCACCATAATTTGCAAATAAATTCTTTCCAAATCAGCCAATGTGATTGTCTGGATTTTTTTTCTCATTTTGTCTCTCATAGTTGAGGTCTACCTATGATGCCAATTACAGGCCTCTCTCATCTTTTTAAGTGGGAGAACTTGCACAATTGGTGGCTGACTAAATACTTTTTCGCCCCACTGTATGTATGGATCTGTACTGTCAAATATCCACAAACTTAGTTTTAAACCTTTCCTTTTCCAGTTAATAAAGCCGTGGCAAGAGGGTGACAAAACATGGCTGGCATGGAGCCACAGCATTGATCTCCATGTGACAAAAGAAGCATTAATGAAAGCTTTATCACATCAGATACAAGTGAAAATATGGGATACAAAGGACAAAGTATCAGCAAAAGCAAGGTTTGATCGACCTAAGGCATTTCGCGTGTCACATGTGAAACATGGGGAGGAGCCTGAAGGTAATATCCTGTCTGTTCTTGTCTTGTACTTTCATTATAAAGCTAGACACAATCTGCATTATATTAAACCCCAACTACAGGTAGTAGTAGGAGATTTTAATGTTTGCCCTGGAGATAGGCTTTAAGATTCAGCGACTCTCTTTTGCTTGTTTTATATGGTTAATAATCTTGAAACTCCACCTGTGGCTGACAATAATATCTCAAGTATAGAGGAATTATTCTATAACATATATTTGGATTTTGTTGCAGATAAGTCAGAGAAAGAAAATCAGCTTACAGGATGCAACAGCAAAGTAAAAAAAAAAAAAATATATATATATATATATATATATGTTTCTGATAGCAGTGCTGGTTACTTATTATTCTTGGTTTTCCTGTGAAAGCATGGGTAAACCTGTCTAAAAGGTAATATTCCTCTGCTTCCAAGGGATCTTCTCTTACTTTCAGCTGTGTCTCTGCAACATACAGTGAAGGGAAATCTACTAGGTGGGATGTAGACAGGGGTCTTAAAGTATAACTAAAGGCATTGTTTTTTTTGTTTTGGATACAGTGTGAAGTGATTAGAACACCTGTCAGTTTTATTGCTGTCTTTGCCCCCCCCCCATTAGGGAGATTTACCCTCTCTATTTGTACTGTTTAACCGTATCATTGAAAGTAAAAGAAAATCCCAAAATGTTGGGTTGTCCCCAGATAACCCACAAAAGTGGAGAAATCTTCCAATGGGGACACTAGTTCTGATGACCTGGGGGTCCCAAAGGAACTCCCTAAAATTGCAGGGATTTCCTCTCACTTCTTGTGTGGCTTTAGGACAGGAAGTGAAGGGATATCTACGCAATTGGACAGGTGGCCAAAAAAAAAAAAAAAATTCTGACTGGTTATAACCCTTTCTTGCTCTATCCAAAATGAAAAAAAAGTTGCCACTGGTTCAACCATTCTCTACACTATACTAAAAAATAATGTTGGCTTTATGTACTTTAAGGTATTCTTCTGCCTTTGAGAAACTGATTAAGAGATTCATAGTGTATGGAACAGTGATGATATCTATAAATATGTAATTTTCATTAATTGTTGGGTACTTAGTGAGGGAAATTACCAATTGTGTTTAGACATATGGACCAAGCTAAAGGACAGTTGTTATGAACATTTCCTTCTATTAAGTTTCATTATGTTTTTATGGGAGGTTGTCTTAGAAGCAAAGTGATGGTGATGAGTTTGGGTCACCCATATTGCAGGCAGAGGAAATGCACTGAAGGCTCACCTGTAATATAATAGAAGTGATCCTTTTTTACAGTACACTTGCCTTCAAAGGAACTGAATTGGTGACAAGCCATTTAACCAGTAATGTTATACACTATGATGACCTGACAAGTTCACTTAAAGTGGAAGTAAACTCGTTCACATCTTTACACTATAACTTATTAACAAGCATGGTATATAAAGAAATATTATCTATAATAAAAAAAGTACCCATCTAAGTCTAAATTTGCACTAAAAACTGCTTACAGTAGGTCATGCCAAGCCATGCACTGTTCCATTTTTCCCCTGAACAAACTGCATGACAGAGGTTTAAACAGTTTCTGGGGGCTGCACAACTTAAAGCTTACAAGGTGGGCTAACATTTTATTGAAAGTGCATTTGGTGACTTTACTTCCACTTTTAACACACTTACATTTTCAATGTTTTCTGTTTACTGCAGTGAAACAGTTGGTCATGAATCAGAGGAAACTTTTCGAAGACAGCCTTCCACAGCCGAGTTTTATTCTTGAGAAAAATGGCAGCATGTTGTTTCAGGAGAATCTCTGTGCTCAAGGTATGTTTTAAGTCCTGTTTCACAAGGGTTTCAGCTTGTATAAGAGAAGTGAGAACAGCAAGCTTTTGTGAAAATTTCAGTAAGTTTTTACAAAACTTCTGGCAAGCTTTGAGCAGCTTTCTCTAAGCCTTTAAAGTACCCTTCAGCTCCTGTTTTTAACTGTTATGCTAATTGCCAAGATCTCTAGCAAGAACATTTACAAACTGACACTCATCAAAGCTTAGCGAAAGCTTTACAAATGCTTTGTAGATGCTTTATGTTCATCCTGTTCTTATACAAGCTAAAGCTTGTGTGAAACAGGCCTAATAGCTTTCAGTGTTAATTTTTTTTTCAGACTGTCAGCTGGCATTTAGCTATAGGGGGACCTGAGCCAGGCACACCAAACCTATATGTTGCCTATTTGTAAGGTATTCCATAGATACCTAGGAGTGACCTAGGACTAATTTATATATAAACCTATTCTTGTGTAAAGGCACAAGAATAAGTGGTATGAGGGACAGCTAATCAAAGCAATTTAAATCCTTGCAAATAAATATATCTGTTAATGCTTACCTGCAAACGAGATGTGAAAACATACTAATTTATGTCTCTTATATCTTGCAGCTTACATGTCCTTAGATATGGTGACTGCATTAGTTTCCTTTTTCTGACTTTCATACTTTTTTCTCCACCTGGTTAAATTGCCAGTAACACACTTTTTCTCCTAGGGTGACAATATTCACTCAATGTACTGTATAGAGAAGCAGCACTGTTGCTCTAAGCAGGAAGAGTGTTTAAACTACAGATCCATCTCTATTACGTAGACGGGAGGTGTTGTATAGTTCATATAAGATACCTGGAAAGGTTGCAAACTTGTTTGAGATTTCAGTTCAATGAACAAGTTAATAAGACAACCTGCTTCTGGCAGCAGCAACAGGTGTTTTCTGTACTTTACTTAGCATGAAAAAATGAAAAAGGCTGCCACAACATATAAAGACTGGTATACTACATTTTATTTTTGCATTTTTGCTGAACCTGTCAGGAAGGTCCCAAATACCGGACATTGCAATGAAACCAATGGAAGTATACGGGAGCTGAATCTTATTATTTTGTTCTGGACTTTTTCAAGGCTAATGTGGCAAAGCTTTAAGGGTATGGGTAGGTGAACACTGCTATGGGGGGCATATGCCATTGTAATAAATAGAGGGTCTTTTGTCAAAGGACAATATTCAAAATATACAAATCTTTTAAATAACGAGGTTTGGGATGCCCTAAACCTGCACATAAAGTTGCAGATGCAGTACAAAGTCACGTTGTTTACAAATAGCGGCCGTGATTTGTAATGTATCAGCTAAATTAAGTGTATTTCCATATTCCCTCTTCCCTCCAAGTCCTTCTGCAGACTCCCTCATCCCTTTTGGGGTCAAGATGTTGGGATGAGGCCTTGTCTTCTCAACATGGGCACAAGGTGCTTTGTTATCCCCCTTGCAGTGTACTTTCCTGATTATGAATGCATATGGCCTGGTATGGTTCAGGGTGTGAGGGACACATGTTTGCTGCCCCCCTTCCCTATAACCACAGGATTACTTATAAGGGAAGGGCAACCCTGTAAGAGAAGCCCATCTGTACTTACTTTCCAATGACCGCTGCTTCACTGCTACCTGGCCACTGCCTATATTTGATCCTTCCAGGTGGGTTGAATACCTGCTCCCTCTGCCACACTCAGGTTCCTCTTCTTGGCTCATGTTGTAATGATATACAGGTCAGCAGAGGGATCACTGTTTGGTGGGAGCAGGCCTGGACTGGGCATAGGGCGCACTGGGCTTTTGCACGGTGAGCCGGGGCCGCAGGGCTAAAAGATGACCGGGCCACACAGTGGGAGGTAAGCCGCGACCATCGTTTGGATGGGGATAATACAGACCACGGCTGCTGCTCACCTCCTGCTGTGCGGCTATGCCCAAAGCAGGGCCAACAGGAGGAGCAGCAGTGACGGCTCCTGAAGACGAGCAGGAAGCACCTCTGACACAAGGACTCCTCCTCGGCCGGCCACTGCACTGAAGGGAAAACGGCCGCCTCTCATCTTCACCCGCGGCTGCCGGCACACTGTGGGTGTATAGCAGCGGTGGATAGGGCTGTCTCTCTGTTGAATGGGCTGTCTCTTTGCTGGATGGGCTGTCTCATTGCTGGAGAAGCTGTCTCTTTGCTGGAGGGGCTGTCTGTTTGCTGGAGGGATGTCTCTTTGCTGGATGAGCTGTCTCTGTGCTGGATGAGCTGTCTCTTTGCTGGAGGGGCTGCCTCTTTGCTGGATAAGCTGTCTCTTTGCTGGATGGCTGTCTCTTTGCTGGACGGGCTTTCTCTTTGCTGGACAGGCTGTCTCTTTGCTGGACAAGCTGTCTCTTTGCTGGGGAGGCTGTCTCTTTGCTGGAGGGGCTGTCTCTTTGTGTAGAGGCTGTCTCTTTGCTGGAAGAGCTGTCTCTTTGCTGGATGGGGATGTCCCTTCTTGGACTGGGCTGTTTCTTTGCTGGAGTGGCTGTCTCTTTGCTGGATGGGGATGTCCCTTCTGGACTGGGCTATCTCTTTGCTGATTGGGCTGTCTCTTTGCTGGATGGGCTGTCTCTGCTGGAGGGGCTGTCTCTTTGCTGGAAGGCTGTCTCTTTGCTGAATGGGCTGTCTCTTTGCTGGATGGCTGTCTCTTTGCTGGATGAGCTGTGTCTTTGCTGGATGGCTGTCTCTTTGCTGGACGGGCTATGTCTTTGGTGGATGGGCTGCATCTTTGCTGGAAGGGCTGCCTCTTTGCTGGAGGTGCTGCCTCTTTGCTGGAGAGGCTGTCTTTTTGCTGGAGGAGCTGTCTCTTTGCTGAAGGGGCTGTCTCTTTGCTGGAAGGGCTGTCTCTTTACTGGAAGGACTGCCTCTTTTATGGAGGGGCTGTCTCTTTGCTGGATGAGCTGTCTCTTTGCTGGATCGGCTGTCTCTTTGCTGGAAGGGCTGCCTCTTTGCTGGAGGTGCTGCCTCTTTGCTGGAGAGGCTGTCTTTTTGCTGGAGGAGCTGTCTCTTTGCTGAAGGGGCTGTCTCTTTGCTGGAAGGGCTGTCTCTTTGCTGGAAGGACTGCCTCTTTTATGGAGGGGCTGTCTCTTTGCTGGATGAGCTGTCTCTTTGCTGGGTGGGCTGTCTCTTTGGTGGAGGGGCTGTCTCTTTGCTGGAAGAGCTGTCTCTGTGCTGGAGGGTCTGTCTATTTGCTGCACGGACTGTTTCTTAGCTGGAGGGGCTGTCTCTTTGCTGGATGGGGATGTCCCATCTGGGACTGGGCTGTCTCTTTGCTGGATGGGCTGTCTCTGCTGGACGGGCTGTCTCTTTGCTGAATGGACTGTCTCTTTGCAGGACGGGCTGTCTCTTTGCTGGCTGAGCTGTCTCTTTGCTGGACTGCTGTCTTTTTGCTGGACAGGCTGTCTCTGTTGGACGGGCTGTCTCTCTGCTGGATGGGCTGTCTCTTAGCTGGACTGGGCTGTTTGTTTGCCCAGTTGGGTCCAGCAAAGAGACATCCCAGTCCAGCAAAGAAACAGCCCAGTCCAAGAAGGGACATCCCCATCCAGCAAAGAGACATCCCTGTCTGACAAAGAGACATCCGATGTTGCTATATGGGGATAGCTCTTTGCTGGACGGGCTGTCTCTTTGCTGGATGGTCTGTCTCTTTGCCCAGTTGGGTCCAGCAAAGAGACATCCCAATCCAGCAAAGAGACAGTCCAGTAAAAGAAGGGACATCTCCATACAGCAAAGAGACATTCCAGTCCAGCAAAGAGACATTCCAATCCAGCAAAGAGACAGTCAAGTACAAGAAGGGATATCCCCATCCAGCAAAGAGACATCCTGTCTTTGCTGTATGAGGATGTCTATTTGCTGGATTGGGCCATCTCTTTGAATATATAGGGGGCACTGTGATTAGATCTCTAGGTGCACTGTAATGTAAAGGGGCACTGTGATATAAAGGGGACTGCGCTGTAAAGGGGCACTGTAATCAATACAGTGCCCCTTTACAGTGCAGTCCCATTTATATCACAGTGCCCCTTTATATTACAGCATGGAGGACCGACCCCGTGAATATTCTGTCACCAACTGCCCCTGCGAGTGCCCTTGCACCTCCCGGAAACTGGCTGCTCAGTCTAAAATGCCCGGGCCTATTTTTTGTCCCAGTCCGGGCCTGGGTGGGAATGTGGAATCCCTGCAACAGCAGGGGAGCATTGAAGCAGCTGTGTTTCAAGACATGGGCCACTGGAAGGGTAAATATAGATACCTTCTTTTTTAAGTGGCCCTGCAGTGCCAAGGTCACTTTAAACATTTAATTGTAAACATAATAATGAATTAAACGCAATCATTCACTTTAAACATTTTGGGCTTTAAAGCTGTTTTTAATCTGCAGGAGGTATATAAACAAAATGGGGCTTACCATCCTCAGGCTTATTGTAGGCAAATGTGGACACCCTTGACACTCTTGCTGATTTATTTTGTGACTCAGTTTTACAGTCATTCCTTTGAATTTCTAGTTAAAATCAGGTTGTATTGCAAAAAGATATAGAAAATGTCACGACCAACACATGTAAGATAAGAAAATATTGAACCATCGTTTTAATACCATATTCCTTATCTCTGCCAGGCCAGCATATTTTTGCAATGCATTGCAGGTAGCGTTAAATGCAGCAGAAGATATACAGGAGCACATTTCTTTCACGTTAGCTGAGAACAAGCTTTGCATATGCTGACCTTCTGAATGTATTATATCATTCTCTCTGCACAGTGAAGTTTTCGTGACATTTAAAATACACAAACCACAAGGTTATTCAGTGAGTTACTAGTGATTTGGGAAGGGCTATATCCAGTTGGCTTACTAAAACACAGGTACGAAGAATGTTCATGTTGTTGTATATAAACCATAAGTAAATGGAAAAGCTGTAAGTTAATTTAAAAAAAAAAACAAGGTCACAGAATTTCTAAAGTTTACTTTTAACCTCTTGAGACAGCATAACAA